CTTTGGTCGATAGTCGGATATCACGTCTATTAAGTCAGAGATGGCGTAAACTGGCGGGTGTATGCGAAACTAGCCCTCTGTATCCGTATTCAGCTGAGATTTCATCAGAGATCAACCCGTTGGCACTGGCTGATGGTACTTCCCAAGTAAGTGAAGCGGTCAACGCGCTCCACCAACCACTTCACTTCCTATTTCTAATCTAGGGGTCGGTAAAGTCCAATCCTGTAACATCATCTTACATTTTACAGGACACAAAAGAGAGAGAGTTAAAACACGTTTACTGTAAGTAAGTAAGTGAGAAAGCGAAGTAAACGTATGATGACAGTTTTGTTGTTCAAAACCCTGTAAAAAAACCAAAACAAAAAAACACTAAACACATACAACAGAAATGACTCAATGCAAATACCAGAGATATGTATGGAAGATATTATTACCACCAGTCAGTCAGTCAAATCAGAGTAGGATAATAAATAATCTTAAATTGTATTCTATTTCAATTCAATTCACGTACATCACAGCATTCTCACACGTCACTTGTTATGACTATAACAGAAACACTAGTCTTATTTCCCATCTGATTGTAATTGATCAATAACACTCATGTTATTATTATTATTGATTTGATGATATGTGATAGTTGGAGGCGATCGGCGCCAGAGGAAGCCTTACCCGGACCTAGGTTTCGTGCTAGTTGGCACTCCCCGGTCAGTCAGTCAGCAAGGTGTATCTGCAACCATATTGAAGGAACTCATATCCCTTCCGAGTTCCAACTATCTAATATATCAACAATTCACAATGCACCGTGATGGCGAGCTACCTAGTGGCATGGTGACTGGCCACATTGCAAACCTGACTGACTGACTGAGAGAATTCAGTTTGCACCAAAGAAAGAGCTAGCCAGTCACGTCACACTAGTTACTGACTAGTGTTCAATCAAAATAACTACTACACTACAGTCCTACAGGAGGTCAATCGCGAGCCAGCCTGAATAGCTCAGTGGTAACGTCTCTGACTGCAGGCGACACTGGGTGACGCGGGTTCAAATCTCAGGTGGGTGGGACATGAGCTGTTCCTTCAATGTGGTTGCAGATACGCCTTACTGACTGACTGACCGGTGAGTGCCAACTAGCACGAAACCTAGGTCCGGGTAAGGCTTCCTCTGGCCGATTGCCTCCAACTACCTAATATATCAACATTCGTCTTATTTCCCATCTTATTATTGTATTTGATCGATAACACTCATATTATTGTTATTATCGTTTCTGAATGTACATTATCCCATATTACTGATTTGTATTCAAATGTCTAATCATGAATTCCACTCATGTATATGAATGAAGGAAGACGAAAGTTGTGTGAGTGAGTGAGTGAGTGACTTGATATGATGATTATGAGTGGCAATAATAAATTGTGCTCGAAGCGTGTGGTCGCATCAGTTAATATTACTTACTGTATAACACTACACACACTGTGTATGTGACAGTTTATCAAAACAGAAAATCTTATCCATAATGGAGTAGTTATATGCTGCTCTACCACCGCCACAGTGCTCGCCCAAGTTTTCTACTTATACCATAAACAAAATGCTTATTGGTTACAGGATTTCATCATGAGCTGACATAGGACGAAACAGCTGTCCAGTACTCCCTAGCCGTTTTTCCAATGGTTCTCTAAACAATATCAGCTCATGATGAAATCCTGTAACCAATCAACCAAATCCCTACAAACCAATACTTGAATATGAATGAGATGCCGCTCACTGGCGACTGGCCCTATTCAGGTAGGTAGTTACCTGGGTGGGTTCTAGTGGGAAGTCGTTACCAGTAGAGTGCAGCAGGTCAGGTGTGAGAACAAATACTCGCCGAAGACATTGGCTAGTGGTTGCGCTATATCGTGAATTGGCAGAAGTTAGAATTTATGGGCCATTGGATCGGGTCCTAGTGAGTGGCTTAATGGTCTACGAGCTCGATGGCCTTGTAACCAGAAGGTCCTGGATTCGAACCTCGCAGTGTGGGTGCGTACTGATGAAGAGTCCCAAACTAGGATGGGGAAAACTGCTGTCCAGTACTCCCTGGTTGGTTTTTCAATGGTTCTCTAACCAATGTCAGCTCATGATGAAATCCTGTAACCAATCAACCAAATCCCTACAAACCAATACTTGAAAATGCTCATTATTATTATATATTAAAATGGATTTACAGCAAATGACAAATCCTCATTCATTCATTCACTCCTTTCATTTACCTGCATACTAGTAAACTGTTTTTGAAGACAATGCAAAGCACTATCCGTTGCTTTGCTTACCATATTTGATGAAGTCCACCTTGTAGTGAATGAATGAAGTAAGTAAGTACCATTTCTAGAATTCCTAGTTAAGAGGAGGGAAAACGGACAGTTTAGTATATCCATATTCAGGAAGAAAACCCACTCAAACGACAAATATTTAGACTTCAAATAATCACACCCCGACATCAGTGCAAAAGTATCAGTTGTTTCAAGTCTTCTTAGACGATCACACTCTCTGATGTTAACGGATGAGAAAGAAAAAGTGGAAGAGGAAATATCAAACATTACTGAAACTCTTCTCAAGCAAAACAACTACCCGACGAACTTCATCAACAAAATCAACACTGAGATTAAGTATGGTCGAAAACGCATTCCGAAAACATGAATGGACATCAACAGTCGTCATTCCATATAGAGCAGAGACGTCAGACGATATCAGAAGAGTACTCAATCAGCTCGACATTAGAGTTTTCTTCAAAACATAAGACAGGCACACTGCGAAACAACCTTGTCCATATAAAAGACCAAATCCCTAAAGATTCTCTATCTAATTGTGTCTATAAAATAAAATAAAATGCTTGGAATGTGATGCGATATACATCGGACAAACATCGCCATAGAGAAATCAAGGTAATCAGAAGAAATGAACGCCGTAGAGTGAGCATCTCTTCGACCACCGAGAAATCCTGTTGAACTACAAAAACTTGAAAAGTCATTAGCCATAGGTCTACAAGCTATAGAATCAGGCCACAAAATTGATTTTGACAATATTGAAATCATCATCCAGAAAAAGCATGATCGTTAAGGATTCGCTTTATTTCATAGGATGTTTCTTCTTTGCGGTAAGGAATCACCGCTGCACTAATCCAATTCTTAGCAACAGGTTTCGATTCATCCTTATCTTCACGTTTTAAGTATCTATTTATGAAGGCTTCAGGATAATTATTTAATTCAAGAGTGGATTGAAGAAATTTTAGTTCCTTGCTAATCTCTTCCACGTCTTCAGTAACTAGACGTTTGGCTCTGTTAATCAGATTCTTGACTGTTCACCCACACACACACACACACACCATTATATACTACATATACACATATATTTTAACAAAAGTAGACTAGTTTATATATGTCCCAACCAAGTTCACTTTTAACGGTTTGAGAGAAATTGCGCATTGGGTATATGATATTCGTTATAATAAAGATTTTTGTATTTCCCAATGAATGAAAAACAAAACGATATTATTGTTGCTCTTACTGACGTTTCGCTACTTAATGCTGCTGCTAATAGCTTTATCAAAGCAGTATTATTAAACCGGCATTTACAAAATCTCAGCATATATATAATAAACAGTTAGGGAATGAGAAAATAGACTTAGGTCAAGTTAAACGGACATATTGCAGACATTAGGTATGGCCGAAAGGGCATTCCGAAAACATGGACATCAACAGTCGTCATTCCATATAGAGCAGAGACGTCTCGTCAGACGATATCAGAAGAGTACTCAATCAGCTCGACATTAGAGTTTTCTTCAAAAAATCAGACACACTTCAGAGCAACCTTGTCTATATAAAAGACCAAATCCCTAAAGATTCTCTATCTAATTGTGTCTATAAAATAAAATGCTTGCTTGGAATGTGATGCAATATACATCGAACAAACATCACCAGAGAGAAATCAAAATCAGAAGAAACGAACACCGTAGAGCATCTCTTCGACCACCGAGAAATCCCGTTGAACTACAAAAGCTTGAAAAATCATCAGCCATAGGTTGTCTACACGCTACGCTATAGAATCAGGCCACAAAATTGATTTTGACAATATTGAAATCATCATCCAGAAAAAGCATTTCAGAAATCACAAAGAACGTCTCATATCATCAGAAGCACTTCATATCAAGTGGAATCCAAATTGTCTGAACTGAATAGGAATGATGGACTAAAACAGAATATGACCTGGTTACAACACCCACAAACCATCTCATGAAGTGACAAAATCAACACGAATGTGATAAGCAAGTTCACTATATCAACACACACTACTTTTATCATTTTTACACACCGATCAAATCCAACAATCCACACTTGATTTTGTTATCTTTACCAATTGACCAACTTGACAACTAAAAATGCCCCCAGACAGACGAATGATGATCAAGTTAGTAAACTTTGTTTTGATACCAGCCAGGGAATATGTAGTATTACCTCTGTTATTTGGTTTAGTGATTGATCTCCATTGTTATTTTGACTTTCAATATGTCCTCCTTTTAACTTGAACTATGTCTATTTTTCTCACCCCCTAAGTGTTTGTTATATATATGCTGAGTGGATTTTGTAAATTCCGGTTTAATAATACTTTGATAAAGCTATTAGCAGCCGCATTAAATAGCGAAACGTCAGTAAAAACGACAACATTGTTTTGTTTTTCATTCATTCACTGGGAAATACAAAAACCTTTATTATAATGAATATCATATACCACCCAATACCCAAATTTTTATGTCAAACCGTTAAAAGTGAACTTGGTTTGCGGACATATATAAGTAAGTGATCATTTACTGAGTGAGTGGGTATTGGATGATAGTGCGCCGACGTATTTTATTATTTTGCCATGCACACAAACACACATATTGATTTTATGCCTTTCTTTTTTATCCAATTGAAATGCATGCAACCTGTTCCTGTTCGCCTTGATGATGATGACGAATGACGGCATCCAGGGATCAAATGACACGAGCTCCTGTCGTCTGGTTCCCTTCAATCACAGAGTCAGTCGAGTTTATTGCATGGATTGATTCGCAGGAAGGATTTCAGACGTTGAAAGCAGCTTTTGATAAGACTAGTGCGCATGTCAATCTACTCTCTGTATTTGCTAGTCCGGTAAGTGAATGAATTACTTACTTACTTGCATAAACATTTTCTTTTTCCTTCACGTTCCCCAGTGGAACATAAGGGGAGCCTTCAAGCTAGTGGCTTGAAGTTTCTGTATTATTATTATTATTTATTATTGTATCCTTTAATTCCTACAGGAACATAGGGCTTCAGCCGTGCGTCTCCATTGCGTTCTGTTCTCTGCTAGAGTCTTCACCTGGCTCCAAGTCTGCCCACACGTTTTCATCTCCTCTTCACATGACCTCCTCCAAGTCACTCTTGGACGACCAACTCGTCGCTTCCCTGTCTAGTGATGTCACTTGATGGTTTCCTAAGAGTATGTCCAATCCATCTCCATTTCCTCCTGCCTATTTGTTTCACTATCGGTTCCTGGTTGGTTCGTTCCCAAAGATCCCTGTTGCAGATCTTTTCTGGCCATCTTAACTTGAGTATTGAGCGAAGGCAACTGTTAATGAAGGTCTGTAGTTTGTTTGAGATGCTGTTTATGACACGCCAAGTCTCTGATCCTAATAGTAGCACTGACTGACTTCACATTGGAGTTGAAAATCCGGATCTTATTTTTGATGCTGATTAGTGTTGTTGACCTCCACACAGACTTGAGAGTAGTGAAAGCTTGCTTCCTTGCTTTGATATCCTGGTCAGTTCCGTCAACGTGTAGTTGAAACGATACTTCCCAGGTAGGTAAAGGAGGTTGTTTCTTTCAGGTTCCTCCCATTTATGCTGATTGTTGTCAGTTGTTGTTGTTGCTGTTGATGGTGTTGCCCAGGAATTTTCATCACCTCTGTTTTATCTATGTTCACCTGAAGTCCTCTCTTTGATGCTTCTTCTGCTAACTTGTTGCTTTTCGCTTGCATATCTTCCAGTTTGTGGGAAATCAGACATATATATCACATCGGCGAAGTCCAGATCCTCCAAGTTCTTTTTTTGTGTGTGTCCATTTTATGCCTGTTTCCTCATTGCCCGACTCGCCGTTTGTCGCATTATCCAGTCTACTGCAATCAAGAAAATCATTGGCGATAGTAGGCAGCCAGCCTTGTCTTACTCCTGTCCTCACTTCGAAGGGTTCCGTAAGTTTCCCATTGTGGATTACTTGGCATGCAGCATTGTCGTATAGCTGTTTTATGAGATGTATTATTGTCGGTGGCACCCCGTAGTAACGAAGTAGTTTCCAAATCACCTCTCGATCGACGCTGTCAAAGGCCTTTTCAAAGTCGATGAATTTGAGATAGAGAGGTGACTGCCACTCTAAGCTTTGCTCAATGATGATGCGTAATATGGCGATCTGGTCAATGCATGACTTGTTCCTCCTGAATCCAGCCTGTTCCGGTCGAAGTTTTTCATCCAGGCTGGCATGTTTGATTCACTCCAAGATGATGCGGCTAAGTATTTTGCTTGGGATGGACAGGAGCATAATTCCGCGCCAGTTCTTGCATTGACTTTAGTCTCCTTTCTTTGGTAGTTTGAATAAGTATTATTTCTTCCAATCCTCGGGTACTTTACCTGCTTTCCACACCTTCTCCAGTAGTGGCGTCATCAAGTCCGCTGTTGTCTCCGGGTCCGTTTTCAATGCTTCTACTGGGATTCCATCTGGTCCTGCTGCTTTTCCAGTGTTTAACTTTTACAGGATAGGGTTGCTAGCCTCATGCCCAACCTTTCCTTTTCACCAGCATTATTTCTGGCTTAGCGAGGTAAAGGAGTGCGTTGGTGTGGCCGGGGACCGAACCCCGGACCATGTGCATTGTCGGCGAGCGTCCTGACCGCTATGCCACCGACGCACTCATAAACTATTTGGTTTGGTTTAATTCATCCCCTCCTCGCCCCTACTCCACTCCACTATTCTTCTTGCTTTCTCATAGTAGTAAATGGATGGACTAATTTATTTATGAGAAGAAGGAGCGAATAGTTAGAGAGCGAACAATTAATTTTTATTTTATTATTATTTATTATTGTTTCCTTTAATTCCTAGAGGAACATTCCAAGGGCTTCAACCGTACGTCTCCATTGCGTTCGGTTGTCTGCTAGAGTCTTTATCTGTTTCCAAGTCCGTCCACACGTTTTCGTCACCTCCTCTTCACATGACCTCCTTCTCGCAGTCACCTTTGCACTGACGACCAACTCGCCGATTCCCTTTCGGGTTCCACTCAAGGGCTTGTCTAGTGATGTCACTTGATGGTTTGTTTTCTCAGAGTATGGCCAATCCAATCCACCTCCATTTCTTCCTGCATATTTGTTACACAATCGGTTCCTGCTGTGTTGGTTCGCTCATCTCCAGAGATCCCTCCCTGTTGCTGATCTTTTCTGACCGGCCGACCATCTGATCTTGAGTGGTATTGAGCGAAGACAACTAGCTGTTAATGAAGGTCTGTAGTTTGTTTGAGATGCTGTTTATGACGCGCAGTGCAAGTCTCTGATCCGTATAGTGAGTAGCACTGACTGACTTCACAATTAATTGTTTACAATGAATTCAGCCTGGCTCTTCAGGCTGTGCAATCATAAAATCCATTCATGTAAGCTGTATAGAATTTGACTACCTCGCGATCTACCAGTTTCACCTATGTAGGTAGTTGACCTAACTGACAGTCAGTCATTGCAGGGTATTTTGTAAATGATATTATTTTGCAAAAGAATGGATAGATACTGAACAAAGAATAATAAATACTCTTTTCGATAACCCCTTCATCACTGTCATCATCATCATCAGGCTCTACAATTATATATCCATCCATTACAGTGAATGAATGAATTAGTGTTACGAACAACAACATGAATGTTGCTTTTTAAATAACATCGAATCAATAATAATAATAATAATACCAATGGATTACAGTTCAATATCATCAACATAACAATACACACTGAATGTCAGGCAGATAAATTAGGAAAGATAATATTACAAATTCATGAATTTATAGTCTCCACCCACTGAAGGCCAGTCAGCCAGGGCAGTAGTAGTGCCTATCTGGCTGGACTTGCTTCTTCTCCACACACAGAGCACTCACTGGTTGTTTGAGGCGAATTGCAATAGCCTGTGCTGTTTGGAGCATGTGGTGGGTGCTTCGATGATGATTTTGGCAATTTATGTGGCACCCAGTATGGGAGATGATGATAGAGAAGGATGGATTCTTCCATGCTGGCTGGCTGACTGGCTTTGTGGCCGGCCGGCCGGTTTACACCAGATGGTCCAATATCGAACTGTTGATGATGGTTTTCACTACACACCTTTACTTAGCCATAGTAGGAGATGTTCTCGAGCGAGTGAGCGAGCACGAAAAATCAAGTTCCTAGAGCAACAATGGCCAATATAACTCGCTCCACAAGCACAGTTGCAGTTGAATTGGTAGATACAAGTTGAATTGGCCAGCTAGTCTAGTCTAGGTACTTCATCTTATTTTATTATTTTATTTTTTCAATTGGATCAATCGATAGGGTCCTACAGAGGCTGCAAAGCTTGTCCTACCTACCTGAGTGAGTCAGTTTGTAGGAGGCTTTAAATGCCACCACCAGGCCAATTCCTGTTTTGTTATTCAGAATCATACGTAGACAGTGAGTGTCTCAGATGTCCCCTCCTTATATGGTATATGGTATAACTGCTGTAGATGCCTTATATTCTCTCTCTCTCTTATTTATGTTAGTTATCATTATTAGTCTCACCGTTATTATTTTTATTTCTCCTTCCACCTTTTCTCATCTTCCGAATGGATTTTATAGGATAGTTATTTGACAACAGCGCTTCTTCTATCTGTTTTATTTCATCATTTAGGTGGTCTATTTGAGTACTACTCAGTGTGCTACTGCTCGGTTTGTTAGACACTTAACTTCACTTAACTCAGCTTAACTTAACTGGACTAAGCCTGCCTTCACAGACAGTGAACAGATGAGAGGAGATGAGATGAGATGAATTACAGTCTAAATATCGATTAGCAGAATGCGTTGGTTGTTTTTGTTTTCTTTTTGAGATGAACGCTGATGTCCACTCTACCTACCTACCTACCTACCTACCTTCCTTCTTCTATTCCATTTTAATATTATTTTACAATCTAACAAACATCACAGCTAATTCTCTTTCTGCTGGTTGTTGTTGTTCTGTTTCCGATGTGAATTCTACAGAAAATGCTAAACAACCAACTAATGTAATGAGGTTGACCAGACAGACGGACAGATGAAAGTCCACCTGAATGAATGAAGAATGCCGAAACCTTCATTATTATTTTAATTAATTAATTAAGAATATTCTTTTCAATAATTTGTCTGGACATAAGTTCAAGGATGACAATAACGAAAATATTAATGATTGTCATATAATAATAATAATAATATTGATGATAATAAAAAGGAATTTAGTGAAGTGAAATGAACAGGATTTTGTAAATACGATAAGAAGTTAGCAAAGCACCAGTGAAACCTGAGCTGATAGAAATCATAAGAAGGGTGATGAAATCATCTCAAATAAGGTCTAAATTGAACGTTTGTCAATGAAACATTGAAGGAATAGAAGAAGGGGATGAAGAAGGTGAGAAGAAACTTGTGATGGGAATTTGAAGTGCTCATGTTGTTTATGGAGGATTTGTTGGTCTTATTACAATAGGCCAAGGTAAACACATAACGGTTGAACATACTTCTTGTGTGTATACAAAGAGTGTCGGTCTTCTGGTAATGCTTGGAACCGCTTCAGCCACTCACTCACTGGTAGAAGACGTCGTCGAGCTCCTCTAGATAGATAGATAGATTGTGAGGAAGGCGGTGAATAACTGAGAACGTCTCGTCAGGTTTTATCGAGTGTTGAGTATCTGAGAAGTGGCTATAACTGCACTACTTTCGCATTCGATTACATCTTTACTCAACCACAGAGATAGATTCTGGTTCGCGTGTGAGCATGGATAATGTGCTCTGAAGACAACTAATATAACTATCTATATATCACAGGGAAGATTTGTAGCTCAGCTGGATGATTTTGATATGGTTGTGTTCTCTGAGCTAACTGGATAGTAGTTAATTTGCGAAGCTTTCATCGCCCCACTACTAGGCGACATCTTCAGCGCATACTTCAATTTTGAAGTGAGCTTTCAGATTTCTCCACTAATAAGTTTAATAATCATCTCTCCTGGTGACCTTGGACGTGATTGGTTGTTTTTGTGTGTGTTTTCACACCTTCTAGGTTATTTGTATTGTAATTCATTGTTTCTTTGACTTGAACTTTGACCCTTTGTGTGTGTCAGTGTGTGAGGTTTCTTTCTTATTGGTTGATAAACTTTGTCTATCTCGATGTGTGTCTATTGATTGATGATTCACTGGAATACCAGGCAGGCTTCTAAAAATTCTCTGACTAGCATTCTTGTTGTTTCCTCTGTCTAATATTTGAACGTTGTCCCAGTCGAATTGATGTCCGTGGTTGTCTGTATGTAGTGATATGAGGGAGTGGATATCATGTCTTTTGATGGCTAACTTATGTTCGTGGATACGAAGACGAAGAGCAGGGATGTTAACTTTGGCCAATGTAGTGTTTTTCGCAGTTGTTACAATTTATTTTGTAGATGATGTTGGTTTTATCTTTTTTCGTTCGCTGTTGAGTCTTTTGGTTGACATAGAATTGAGTGAAGTGACTTTGTTGGTTTGTGTACGACGTCAATTCCTAAAGGTTTGAAGAGTCTTGTAGTGATTTCTGAGATCTGCTTTATATATAGTAAAGCGATTTTCTTTGCGCTTTCCTTTGGGGCTTTTAGTTTGATAGGTTGGCTTGGGGGTATACGTCGTTTGATGAAATTCCGTGGGTATCCATCCATTCTTTTGCAAGACGTGCATGAGATATTTTCCTTAAGGTGGGAGTGCTGCAATGAGTCCTGACTGGCTGTGACCCTCTTGAATAGTGTTTGTATGCAATTCTTCTTGTGTGCTATTGGATTGTTGCTGTTGTAATTCAGGATTTTGGTCTGTGTGAGTTGATTTTCTATAGACTTGAGTTTCTAATTCCCCTGTGGTCGTTCGCTTAACTAAGACGTCTAAAAATGGAATTCGGCTCTCTGATTCCTCTTCTCTTGTGAGATCACATCGAGACAGACAAAATTTATCAACCAATAAGAAAGAAACCTCACACACTGACACACACAAAGGGTCAAAGTTCAAGTCAAAGAAACAATGAATTACAATGCAAATAAGCTAGAAGGTGTGAAAACACACACAAAAACAACCAATCACGTCCAAGGTGGTCACCGACCAGGAGAGATGATTAATAAACTCACTCGTGGAGAAATCTGAAAGCTCACTTCAATTGAAATTGAAGTGTATGCGCTGAAGGAAGATGTCGCCTAGTAGGGCAATGAAAGCTTCTCAAATTAACTATCCAGTTAGCTCAGAGAACACAACCAGATCAAAACATAACTATCTCCATATATATAGCTTTGATTCGATTTATTTTTGAAAAAACTACATGCACTTTGTGTTTTCAAGTGCGCATTTCACAGTAGTGTGATTCTCGCTCGAGCTGGACTTCTCGCATGATTCTCTGAGTCAATGGCTTAACACTAGCAGCATGTGTGTGTGTTTGTGGATGATGTGGTAATAATTTATGACATTTATACATTAGTTTCATACTTTTCAACTGTATGGTGTAAGAGCATTAAGTTTGTTTGTCTAGCTAAGCAGTTACTTACTTTACTGAGGGTGGTGGTGGTGGTATGTGAGTGCATTGTTTAATGTCTACGTTCGATACAGTGCCTCCCACGTCGATTTCGAAGACTGAATTATTATTATTCCGTTGGGTGACGAGTGGAACGTGGTACTCCAACAACACAACTCCATCTCGTCCTGCTCTCTCTACAGTGAGTGAGTGCTCTTCACTTGACTCCAAGACTCCCCCCCCCGTAGGCTGTCACTTCCTCATATGATCATCTATCTCCATGTCACAGTCGGATGCACTCACAACTTATCCTTTTCTATCTGGGTTCCACTCGAGGGTCTGGTGCCGTCAGTGTGTACTGCTCAACAGTTCGCTCCGTCCTTCTCTATGGCTGGCTCTGAAACATGACCAATACGAGTTGAAGACATGAAAAGGTTGTCTGTTTTTGATTATAGATGTCTACGATCGCCTTCTCACGTTAAGTGGTTGTATAATAAGGTAAGTAATGTTGAAGTTAGGCGTAGAGTGTTGGGCAAAGAGGGAATATCAATCGACGAGGCTATAAAGTTACATAGATTGAGATGGCTAGGTGAGGTGCTGCGCATGCCTAACCATCACCTCCTCCCCCTCCCGATGGGCATTACTAGCTGATATATAGGTGCAGGTTGGAAAAGAGTAAGTGGTGCCATGCCAAACAAAAACATGGCCTCATCAATCAATCCATGAAATTCCTGACAGTTAAACTGAGTCAGGTAGGGAGGGAGATGCAGACTTCCTGACTGGTTGGGGCCCGCCCTCGGGACTCTAACAATCAATCAATGGCTGGGGACAGACAATAGGTGACATACATGGCTCAAAATCGTTGTCAATGGCTTACGCAGATGTATTCAGTCTCTTGTGTAATCTTTCATATTCCTTTCTACCATTATTCATTCTGTCTGTTTCACTCTTATACTTGTCAAAACTCTATTGATTGATTCTCTTCACTCATCCATCTTCTTGTCTACCACCTTTGTGTGGTATTTGGAACGTGACCAGTCGAACTGCTGCACTTCGTTGGCAAGTTCTATGTTGAATCCAGACAGACAGACAGACAATTTGGTGATAGGTCCTTCCTTGGTTGGTCCGGAGTGGAGGCAGCTGTTGATGACAAAAATCTGCAGTAGCATGTCAGAAATGCTTTCTGTGACACGCCAAGTCTCTTTCAACCGTGTGTGAGTGTGTGTGTGTGTAGAAGCACTGACTCACGCGTGATTGATTGGTGCATGTGCATAAGAGACTGAATTAGCCATATTCGTAGAATGAATTCGGTATATCGGATGTGATACAAGGCCTCAGGATGGTCGGGGGTGGGTGCCTTGCGCTGCGGGTTGGCCACCCCTCCACACACCTCTTGAAATGCTCCCACATGACCGGGCGTCTTACATAGCCTCTCCTGAGGAAGTCCTACTCACTGCCTTCACGTGGCGGAGGTGTTTTTCACCAAAGTGAGAGGGCGAAAGCGGATGCCCAGCGCTCTTCACCGGTTTCACTGTCCATTGGATGACAGTCTAGGGTAGATGGCTAAACCCTGATTCCAAACCTCCAATGAATGGCGTATGAAGCTCACTGGAGCTCACCGTCAGACGTATGGACAAAGGGCTTGTTGGATGTCCTGGATGTCTGGCCCCATTCAAAAAGGCGTATGAACCGAACTCCGGTCACCGGCTGCCAATGGATAGTGGACTCCCTACTCCACTCCTACTGCCTTGTAGGTCACACTTGGTTGTGTGAAGGCTAGAGCTGAACTCTCAAACAAAAGGCCGAGTGGTTCTGGGGACATCACTCGTACCAAATTCCCATGAAACTTCATGAACTCTCTTACAAACTGGTCCATCAACGTCGCCTTGGGTGGTTTGGCCATGTTCTGCGCCGACCAGATGACGATCTGGTCAAATCAGTTCTAAATCCCTCGCCATTACCATCTTGGCGATGTCGCAGGGATGGACAGCTGAAAACATGGCTTGGTACAGTCATGGCTGATATGGAGTGCCTGGGGCTACAAACTGTCTACGGACTCCGTCTGTGGAACAAGAATTGGATAACCCTGTCGCAAAACCTTGCATTAGATCACCGCGCCGGGGCAGCGATGATTCAAGATGTTCATGAAGCCGGCTCATCCTCCCGTAGGAGATAGCCGAAGTAAAGTAAGTAAGTAAGCTAAGGTAGCGTGAATGAAAACCCCCGTTTTCGTAAGATGAATTTCCATTTTCATTTGATTAATAATAATCGCATAGTTCCACTTATTTATGAAGCTTGTCTTTTCATCAATGAGAATTTACACCTCTGATGCTGTTTCTGTGTTGTTTTGTGTTTTTCTTGTTCATCATCAGGCTGGTCGATACGTTCATATTCGATTTGCAGCTCGGACAGGGGATGCTATGGGTATGAATATGGTAAGCAAAGCAACTGATAGTGCTTTGCATTGTCTTCAAAAACAGTTTAGTAATATGCAGGTAAATGAAGGAATGAATGAGGATTTGTCATTTGCTGTAAAGCCATTTTAATGTATATAATAATGAGTATTTTCAAGTATTGGTTTGTAGGGATTTGGTTGATTGGTTACAGGATTTCATCATGAGCTGACATTGGTTAGAGAACCATTGGAAAACCTGCAGGGAGTACTGGACAGCTGTTTCCCCCATCCTAGTTTGGGACTCTTTATCAGTACGCACCCACACTGCGTGGTTCGAACCCATGACCTTCTGGTTACAAGGCCAGCGAGCTCGTAGGCCATTAAGCCACTCACTGGGACCGGTCCAGTGGCCCATGAATTGTAACTTCTGCCAATTCACGATATAGCGCATCCGCTAGCCAATGTCTTCGTTGGTGAGTATTTGTCCTCACACCCGACCTGCTGCACCCTACTGGTCACGACTTCCCACTGGAACCCCAGGTAACTACCTACCTGAATAGGGCCAGTCGCCAGTGAGCGGCATCTCATTCATATTCAAGTATTGGTTTGTAGGGATTTGGTTGATTGGTTACAGGATTTCACCATGAGCTGACATTGTTTAGAGAACCATTGGAAAACAAGCTGGGAGTACTGGACAACTGTTTCATCCTGTGTCAGCTCATGATGAAATCCTGTAACCAATAAGCATTTTGTTTATGGTATAAGTAGAAAACTTGGGTGGGCACTGTGGTGGTAGAGTAGAGTATAACTACTCCATTATGGATAAGATTTTCTGTTTTGATAAACTGTCACACACACTGTGTGTGTAGTGTTATACAGCAAGTAATATTAACTGATGCGACCACACACGCTTCGAGCACAATTCATCATTGCCACTCATAATCATGTCAAGTCACCCACTCACTCACACAACTTTCGTGTTCCTCCATTTATATACATGTGTGGAATTCATGATTAGACATTTGAATACAAATCAGTAATATAGGATGATGTACATTCAGAAATAATAATAATAATGATATGAGTGTTATTGATTAATTACAATCAGATGGGAAATAAGACGAATGTTGATGTATTAGGTAGTTGGAGGTAATCGACCAGTGGAAGCCTTACTCGGACCTAGGTTTCGTGCTAGTTGGCACTTACCATCGGTCAGTCAGTCAGCAAGGCGTATCTGCAACCAGATTGAAGGAACAATTCATGTCCCACCCATCTGAGGAGATTCGAACCCGCGTCACCCAGTGCCGCATGCAGTCAGAGACGTTACCACCATCGAGCTATTCAGGCTTGCTCGGGATTGACCTCCTGTAGGACTGTAGTGTAGTGGTTATTTTGACTGGACACTAGTCAGTCAGTAACTAGTGTGACGTGTCTGGCTGGCTAGTCCTTCCTTTGGTGCAGACTGAATTCTATCAGTATGACAGTCAGTCAGTCAGGTTTGCAATGTGGCCACCATGCCACTAGGTAGCTCGCCATCACGGTGCATTGTGAATTGTTGATATATATTAGATAGTTGGAACTCAGAAGGGATATGAGTTCCTTCAATGTGGTTGCAGATACGCCTTGCTGATTGACTGACCGGTGAGTGCCAAATAGCACGAAACCTAGGTCCGGGCAAGGCTTCCTCTGTGTCCAGGTAAGGCTTCCTCTGGCGCCGATCGCCTCCAACTATCACATATCATTAAATCAATAATAATAATAATATGAGTGTTATTGATCAATTACAATCAGATAGGATATAAGACGAGTGCTTTTATAGTCATAATAGGAAACTTGTTAGAATGTTGTGATGTACGTGAATTGAATTGAAATAGAATACAATTTAAGATTATTTATTATCCTCCTCTGATTTCACTGACTGACTGACTGACTGACTGGTGGTAATAATATCTTCCATACATATTTCTGGCATTTCCATTGAGTCATTTCTGTTGCTTGTGTTTAGTGTTTTTTTGTTTTGGCTGTTTTACAGGGTTTTCAACAACAATACTGTCACCATACGTTTACTTTACTTACTCACTTACTTACAGTCAACGTGTTTTAACTCTCTCTCTCTCTTATGTCCTGTAAAATGTAAGATGATGCTGCAGGATTGGACTTCACCGACCCTAGATTAGAAATATGAAGTGAAGTGGTTGGTGGAGCGCGTTGACCGCTTCACTTATTTGGGAAGTACCATCAGCCACTGCCAACGGGTTGATCTCTGACGAAATCTCAGCTGAGTACGGATACAGAGGGCTAGTTTCGCATATGCCAGTTTACGCAGTTTCTGGCGTAGACGCGATATCCGAGTAGTGACCAAAGGGTGTGTGTACTGCTCAACCAGCAGTCCGCTCCGTCCTGCTTTATGGCTAGCTGTGAGCGTGGCCTGGCCATTGAGAGTGGAAGACATGAAAAGATTAGCTGTCTTCGATCATAGGTGTCTGCGTTCTATCTCCCGCATGAAGTGGTATAATAAGGTGAGCGATATTGAGGTTAGGCTTAAGTTGAGTGCTAGGTAAGTAGGAGGGGAAATCAATCGACAATGAGGCTGTGAAATTACATCGACTGAGTGAGGTTGTTAGGACATGTGTTACGCATGCATGACTAGTGATCGCCTTCCTCGACAATGGGCAATGTTAGCTGACATAAGGTCAAACTGGGAAAGAGCTAGCCAGCGGCGGTCAAACGAAAACATGGCTTCAGCAGTCAATGAAATCCACAACAGTTACTTCAATCCAGTCACTTAGGAAGGTGTAGACTAGCTTCCTGACTGGTTGGGATCCTCAGGATGGTAAAAGCAAATGGTTGGAAACAATTGGTGATATGGCCGGTTCAAAATCCTTCTCAATGATGGCTGGCTGGAGCAGATGCATCCACTCCTTGTGACTTATGATTTCCAATGAAACTATAGTGTGTTCTTCGTTATTACTATTCCTTTGTCTCACCACACCTCTGTTTACTGTCTCTCTATTATGCATTTCTCCTACTTTCTTCTGTTGCTTTGTGTGCTACATGGAGTGGAGGGAGTGTGGTGACTTGAACTGGTGCACATTGGTGGAACGTTCTATGTCGAAAACAGATAGACAGACAGACAGACAGACTCGAACACCATTGATCCGTGTGTGTGTGCCTTCCTTACTCGTAGATAAGGTGTGTGTGTGTACATTACATGGAATTACGTACATGGTATTAATTATGAGGATCAACAAGTTTTTTTGTATGTTTAATGCAATTCGTGTATGCCTTTCTTTGTTTTCATGGCCTAAGCTGACTAACTGACTGTTTTCTCCTTTTATTTTAATTTTTATTTCCATACCCACACACACAGGTAATTTCTATCAGTGGAAATATGTGTACAGACAAGAAACCGGCGGCGATAAATACAATTCTCGGCCGTGGTAAATCTGTCATCGCTGAAGCACGTCTTCCGGCTAACGTGTTAACTCAGGTGCTGCACACCAATGCACATCGGTTAGCACGATTAGCACATTCGAAAAATTGGCTGGGATCAGCATTGGCCGGCTGTTCAGGTATGATGGGATCGAATGCCCACGCGGCGAATATTATCGCTGGAATGTTTGCTGCGACGGGGCAAGATTTAGCTCAAGTACGTGTTATCTATTCTTGATAATTGTATGTTGTTTTCTGTTTCTGAGTGTGTGTGGGTATAGACAAGGGATTTTTCACTCTCCCTTTGCATTCTACAGGGCTTGAAGTGGTGTCAAGCATTGAAGGTTCAGTAGGAATGTTGTTAGTTTTACGTGATGAAGGTGTGGGTTGCTGGTCTGCTGCTGCTGTTCTTCAACCTGCCTTGCTGCCTTCCTTCCTACCTTCCTTTCCTATTCTTGGCCAACACTATTTGGTTAGTAAGTGGACCCAGGGGAGATGTAGAAGTGCACCGCGGTGGGTTGGTGGGTGTGTAGTCGAATGTAGATAGATAACTTGCTTGTGTGCGTGCGTGCATGCGTGGCTGGTGACGAGGTTCACCTTACCACCCACCAGTGTCAATCACCGATGCAAGTAATACAATCCAATCCATATGAACTGTGATCAAGATTTGACAGGATAGTTGCAAAATAAATGAGCGCCGAGTGAGAAGTAGACATTTGTAAAATCTCAGAGAAATTGAAATGAGCAATTCCAACGTTTCCTGCGTTCGTCACAATCTGGTCCGAACTTCTTCAGGGAAATTAATCGAAATTAATATAACAGAGGTTTATATATAAAAAAGAACATCACTTGATTTTAAAAATTTTGTCCAATCATGAGTCATTCAAAAAGTATCAACAAGCATAATAAACAAAATTTTGTGAGCTGTGATCAAAATTTGACCTCGGACTTACAATTATTGGTCTACTTTTTGTTAAACACTTTAAACAGAGTGTGTATGTGTGTGTGTATGGGTAAACAGTAGTAAAACATTTCATAACGTTTCCATAAGAAGATATGGATAGTCGAGAATTTCGACCAAGTACTAATAATTAGTGATACATATCCATTTTTTATTTATTAATAAGGATTTCCTATGCATCAGCTAACATCACGCCTTCATGTATGTTCAAACTGTTAGTATATCTAGAATTTTATGATTAGACGTATATTTTCAAAATTATGGTGTTTAGGATTAGAGTTTAGTAGAAGCACCCTGTCGGACTTATTGCTTTGCCTTCTCTCTGAAGATTGAGCTGCTTTATTCGACCTACTGGAGAGTTGTCAGGTGACTCGACAGCTACGGATTTAGGATATGCATTATTCTGTTGCAGACAACGGAGAGTGAAAACACGATGATTGTGCCAGTTACACAGTTTCTTTGTTAATTTAATTCGATTGCAAATTAATTCAAATGAACTGTCTGTGGTCAAAATATGACAGAATAGTTCTAAAATATTTGGGCGCCAAGTGAGAAGTAGACACATTTGTTAAAAAAATTATGATATTTGTAAAATCTCAGCGAGATTGAAATGAGCAATTCCAACGATTCCTGCGTTCGTCGCCAATCTGGTACGAACTTCTTTTGCAGGGAAATTATTCGAAATTAAAATAACAGAGGTTTGTATGCATAAAAAAGGGGACATCTCTTGCTCTTTTTAAAAACTTTGTCCAATCATCATATGAGTCATGAAACAGGTATCAACATGTTGTATAATAAACAAAACATTGTATGAGCTGTGATCAAAATTTGACCTCAGAATTTCAACATTAGTCTACTTTTCATTATAATAAAGGGTTTTGTACTTCCCAATGAATGATGGAAAACAAAACGATGTTGTTTTTACTGACGTTTCGCTATTTAATGCTGCTGCTAATAGCCTTATCAAAGCAGTATTAAACCGGAATTTACAAAATCTCAGCATATATATAACAAACAGTTAGGGGGTGAGAAAATAGACTACTTAGGTCAAGTTAAAGGGACATATTACAGGTAAAAATAGCTATGAAGATCACTAAACCAAATACCAAAGGTAATAGTACGTCTGTTATGATATCAAAATAAAGTTAACTAACTTTATCATCGTTCGTTCGTCTGTCTGGGGGCATTTTTCGTAGTCAAGTTGGTCAGTTGGTAAAGATAACAAAATCAAGTGTGGATTGTTGAATTTGATGAGTGTGTAAAATTATAAAAGTAGTGTGTGCGTTTACTTAGTGAACATGCTTATCATATTCGTGTTGATTTTGTCACTTGATGGGGGAGGAGGGTGTTGTGTAACCAGGTCAGATTCTGTTTTAATCCATCATTCCTATTCAGACATTTCGGATTCCATCAGATGATATGAGGTGCTTCGGATGATATTAGACGTTCTTTGTGATTTCTGAAATGCTTTTTCTGGATGATGATTTCAATATTGTCATCATCAATTTTGTGGCCTGATTCTATAGCATGTAGACATATGGCTGATGATTTTTCAAGCTTTTCTAGTTCAACCGGATTTATTTCTCGGTGGTCGAAGAGATGCTCTACGGTGTTCATTTCTTCTGATTTTGATTTCTCCCTGGCAATGTTTGTCCGATGTATATCGCATCACATTCCAAGCAAGCATTTTATTTTATAGACACAATTAGATAGAGAATCTTTAGGGATTTGGTCTTTTATATGGACAAGGTTGCTTTGAAGTGTGTCTGATGTTTTGAAGAAAACTCTAATGTCGAGCTGATTGAGTATTCTTCTGATATCGTCTGACGAGATGTCTCTGCTCTATATGGAATGACGACTGTTGATGTCCATGTTTTCGGAATGCGTTTTCGGCCAAACTTAAGGTCTGCAATATGTCCCTTTAACTTGACCTAAGGCTATTTTCTCACGCCCTAACTGTTTGTTGTATATATGCTGAGTGGATTTTGTAAATTGCGGTTTAATAATACTGCTTTGATAAAGCAGCTATTAGCATTAAATAGCGAAACGTCAGTAAAAACAATATCATTTTATTTTTCATTCATTGGGAAATACAAAAACCTTTATTATAATGAATATCATATACCCAATGACCAAATTTTTTCAAACCGTTAAAAGTGAACTTGGTTTGGACATATATAAATTAGTCTACTTTTGTTAAAATATATATGTGTATATGCAGTATACAATGGTGTTTGTGTGTGTGTGGGTGAACAGTCAAGAATCTGATTAACAGAGGCAAACGTCTAGTTACTGAGGAGAAGGAAGAGATTAGCAAGGAACTAAAATTTCTTCAATCCACTCTTGAATCAAATAATTATTCTAAAGCCTTCATAAAAAGATGTTTAAAATGTGAAGATAAGGATGAATCGAAACGTGCTGTTAAGAATTGGGTTACTACAGCGGTGATTGTGCGTCGGTGGCATAGTGGTTAGGACGCTCGCCGACCATGCACATGGTCCGGAGTTCGATCCCCGGCCGACGCACTCCTTTACCTCGCTAAGCCAGAAATAATGCGGGTGAAAAGGAAAGGTTAGACATGAGGCTAGCAACCCCATCCTATTAAATAAACACTGCTACAGAAACTTCAAGCCACTAGCTTGAGACCCTATGTTCCACTGTGGAACGTGAAGGAAAAAAAAAGCGGTGATTCCTTACCGTAAAGAAGAAACATCCGATGAAATAAAGCGAATCTTTAACGATCATGACAATATAAGAGTGTATTATCGTGCAACTAACACACCTTACGCTCATCACTGGTGAAGGTTAAGGATAAAATAAAAGAACAAGAAGCAAAACCAGCAGAATTGCATATACCAGATGAATTGTGGGGATTGTAACGCCTTATGAGTAGGAGAAACTTCCAGACAGGTAAATATATATAAGGGTGGAAGAGCATAAACAATGTCTAAAGGTGTTGTGGTTCCAAAGACCTCTGCAGATTTGAAGAAGCTAGAAAACAACTCAGCGATTGCACTGCACTGCATTCGATAGGAACGGGACACAAAATCGACTTTGATAAGACCTAAGGTTCAACAGAAAGGTTTTGGTTCGTAAAAAGAAACACTGACTGACTGACTGCAGAAGCCCTGCAGGTGTATGTGGGTGAATCCCAACAGTTTGAACAGACGTGAAGGTGTGGTGTGATGTTAGCTGATACATGGCGAATTCTGACTAATAAATAAAAATTGCATATATGTATCAACAATAAATCATACTTGGTCAAAATTCCCGATTGTCTACGTCTTCTTATGGAGAGGCCAACAAATGTTTTATGACTGTTCACCCACACACACCATTGTATACTGCATATACACATATATATTTCAACAAAAGTAGACTAATTTCGAAAGTCTAAGGCCAAATTTTGATCACAGTTCATACAATGCTTTGTTTATTATACACCATGTTGATACCTGTTTCATGATTCATATGATGATTGGACAAAGTTTTTAAAAACAATAAGAGATGTCCTCCTTTACTGCATATATAAACCTCTGTTATGTTAATTTCGATTATTTTCCTCCAAAAGAAGTTCGTACCAGATGGCGACGAACACAGGAATTGTTGGAATTGCTCATTTCAATTTCACTGAGATTTTACAGATGTCTAATTCTCAGTCGGCGCTGAATTATTTTGCAACTGTATTCGGTCAAATCTTGATCACAGTTCATATGAAGGAATGGTCATGTTTGGTGTAATTGATGTTAAAGCAAGCACTCTAGTTTCCCAAACACCATAGACTTGGAACTAGATAGAGTCTTTGTATCTGCAACTCTCCATCCCCCCACACACACGCACGCAGACACATTATTATTATTGTTTCCTTTAATTCCTAGAGGAACATAGGGATTCAGCCGTGCGTCTCCATTGCGTTCGGTTCTCTGCTAGAGTCTTCACCTGGCTCCAAGTCTGCCCACACGCTTTCATCATCTCCTCTTCACATGACCTCCTCCCACAATGTCACCCTCACTCTTGCACTGACGACCAACTCGGCGCTTCCCTTTCATTCGGGCTCCACTCAAGGGCTTGTTTAGTGATGTCACTCACTTGATGGTTCGTTTTCTCACAGTATGGCCTGCCAATCCATCTCCATTTCTTCCTGCCTATTTGTTGCACAATCGGTTCCTGCTGTGTTGGTTCGCTCCCACAGGTCCCTATTGGTGATCTTTTCTGACCGGCCGGCCATCTGATCTTGAGTGGTATTGAGTGAAGACAACTAGCTGTTGATGAAGGTGTGTAGTTTGTTTGAGATGCTGTTTATGACGCGCTGGCCAAGTCTCTGATCCGTATAGTAAGTAGCACTAACTGACTTCACATTGGAGTCGAAAATCCGGATCTTATTTTCATTTTCATGCTGAGTGCTGTTGACCTCCACACAGACTTGAGAGTAGTGAAAGCTTGTCGTGCTTTTCCGATGTTCCTTGCTTTGATATCCTCGTCAGTAGTGTCCGCCTGTAGTTGAGACGATGCTTCCCAGGTAGGTAAAAATAGGTTGTTTCTTTCAGGTTTCTCCCACTTATGCTGATTGTTGTCTGCTGTTGCTGTTGTTGTTCTTGTTCAGGAATCCTCATCACCTCTGTTTTCTCTATGTTCACCTGAAGGAAGTCCTATCTTCTGTGGATGCTTCTTCTGCCAACTTGTTGCTTTTCGCTTGCATATCTTCCAGTTTGTGGGAAATCAGACATATATCTCACATCGGCGAAGTCCAGATCCTCGATGTTCTGTTTTTGTGTGAGTCCATTTTATGCCTGTTTCCTCATTGCCACCCCCCCAGTTTCCCAAACACCATAGACTTGGAACTAGAGGAGTCTTCGAGTCTACAACCCACACACACACACACGCAGACACATGCATCCACCAAAATGTTCAGTATATCGAGTTAGTTAATGACTTTATGCTACACAGTCGGTGAGTGGGAATTTATTTTATTCACTCAAGTTTCTTTTCCTAGAAATAATAACAAAAATTTATTTCGTTTCGATGTGTTATTGATTTTTTCTTTCTCTCTCTTACTTTCTCAAGGTGGTTGATTCCTCCGCGTGTTTAACCCAACTGGAAGTTGATTCATCCGATGATTCGCTGATCGCCAGTGTTACAATGCCGTGTTTAGAAGTTGGTACAGTTGGTGGTGGCACCCGATTGCCAGCACAACGTGCATGTCTTGACCTGTTGGATTTAAGCGTTGACCGACCAACGGAACACTTATCACGCTTGATTGCTGGAACTGTACTTGCTGCAGAACTCAGCCTGATGGCAGCATTGGATACGGATGACCTGGTCAGAGCACATATGCATTTGAATCGGGCTAAGTCAACACCAGCAGCAACAACCACTCAGGGGCTTAACAACAACAGCAACAGTAATGGCACCAATAATCCTCCTGCTGCTGCTGCTGTCAGTAGTGGGAGCGGCAGTGCTACATCACCGAATCATCTTGTTGGAAATCCTTCAGACGTACAGACAACTGGTCATTCAGCAGGAGTAGGAGTAGTGCATGAGAAGCGATTCTCTGTGAAAAGCGATCCAGCCATGAACTCAGAGATATCGCATTACATAATGTAAATGATATACCCACCCACCCATACACACACACACACACACAATCAATATAATTTATATTATGGAAGAGTTTTGTAAACCCTTATATCTTATATATATGTATCTATCTATATATATGTATATGAAATTAAAATTTATTAAATTTTTTCAAATTATCATTAGAAGTAGCTTTTGTAGTAGTAGTAGTAGTATTGCTTAGAAATCTCAGCATTCCGTTTGTCGTCTTCAGTATTTCTGTATCTGCTTGAGAAGCTTCAAATTGGAAATCATATACGGTATGTTCTTATGAATAGCTTTCAAACTGATTGCATTTCTCGTCGGAGGAAATAATATACCGTAGTAGTAGTATTGAATCGTGTTTTCTGTTCTGTCGATAAGACACTCGGACCGACTTTCTAATAATAATGATAATAATTTGCTTTATTCCAGAAACAGTACTACAAGTGGTACAGTACAGTGTGGAATTTTCAGCACATATCTACACTATTTGCATCTAATTTTATCAACCACATTTAAAAGGAGTATTTCAAAAAAAATATAAAGGCAACAACAAAAAAACACAAAAACAAAATAAAAAATGCAAAAAAATACCAAGAAGTAGAAAGGGAAATAAACAGCATATAATATCTCAATATGGGTAGTGGAAGCTATGATATGATTATGCATGGTGACAGTAAAGCTATAGTCATACAAGAAGTTATGAAATGATATTTAAGAATGTTTATCGCCAAGTTGATCAGTTAATTTGGTCGAAACAACTCTCAACAATCATAAAATAACATTTTAGGGTTTTTTTAGTAGTAGTGTGAGTAATCCTGCATAATACAAAATTTTAAGATGGTGATAATAATGGCGTTCACAACCAAGATTGTCAGTTAATATCGCCGAGCAAAAAAAACAACAACCACAAAACTAATAATTACGTGATGGTTAATAACAGGGAAATTTTGTACTGCTCATAGTGCTAATATAGTCGGAACCAGTAGATACACAAAAGAAGGAATACAGTCAAGTACAGAAGTAAGCTAATGTTAATAATTTAGGTAGTTAAGTATGTTTGAGAAGGAGATCACTATAGAATACAAAATAAGAGAGAAATAAAAGAGCCTAAAATTATGTTATTAACAACAAAGCAAGTCATAGGTTTCGCGCTAAACATTGTCTCTCTCGCTTAGAACACGGACCAAGTATGGTTGAGTATCGTTGAGTTCCTGTACTTGGTTGTACGAGCATAGATTATTTTGTGCTGATTTCTGGTTCTACTTGTTGAGATACAAGGCGAGGGTTGGGAATAGAGGAGGGGGTGTTGAGGGGGGATCGGAGAGTATGGTTTTAGACCATTTTTCGCATGTATTCAGCCTTTCAACTAGTGTAGTGACGAGCTGACTGAGTTTTACACCACTAGTCCTACTGACCACCTTCAACATCCTTCTCAGGATGGTGTAGTCCTTTTTCAGTAGCCCAGGCAAGAATAATGGGCAGCAGTAAAGTAGAATAGGGCAAGATACGAGAGTTGACAAATTGTGAAAGTAAAGGTTGGGTGATTCCAGATAGTCTAAGTTTCTTAATGTAGTAGATTGGTTAGACGGAACACTTTCTTAGAAGTATGTATTGCATTTTTCAGTCGTTGCCAGTCCAATAAAATAGCCAGCTCAGTGTTCCTGATTGCAGTAGACTGGATATTGCGACAAACAGCCGGCAATGAGGAAACAGGCATAAAATGGACTCGCACAAAAGCCTTGGAGGATCTAGACTTCGCCGATGATATATGTCTGATTTCCCACAAACTGGAAGAGATATGCAAGCGAAAAGCAACAAGTTAGCAGAAGAAGCATCCAGAGAAGATAGAACTTCTTTCAGGTGAACATAGAGAAAACAGAGGTGATGAAAATTCCTGGGCAACACCACCAACAGCAACAACAACAGAAAACAATCAGCCAGCATAAATGGGAGGAACCTGAAAGAAACAACCTCCTTCACTTACCTACCTGGAAAGCGTCGTTTCAACTACAGGCGGACACTACTGACGAGGATATCAAAGCAAGGATCGGAAAAGCAAGACAAGCTTTCACTACTCTCAAGTCTGTGTGGAGGTCAACAGCACTCAGTATGAATATGAAAATAAGATCCGGATTTTCAACTCCAATGTGAAGTCAGTCAGTGCTACTCACTATACGGATCAGAGACTTGCACTGCGCGTCATAAACAGCATCTCAAACAAACTACAGACCTTCATTAACAGTTGTCTTCGCTCAATAGCACTCAAGATCAGATGGCCAGAAAAGATCAGCAACAGGGATCTTTGGGAACGAACCAACCAGGAACCGATTGTGAAACAAATAGGCAGGAAGAAATGGAGATGGATTCGCCATACTCTGAGGAAACCATCAAGTGAGTGACATCACTATACAAGCCATTTCTCGAGTGGAACCTGAAAGGGAAGCGGCGAGTTGGTCGTGCAAAGATGAATTGGAGGAGGTCATGTGAAGAGGAGATGAAGACGTGTGGTTAGACTTGGATCCAGGTGAAGACTCTAGCAGAGAACAGAACGCAGTGGAGACGTGCACGGCTGAAGCCCTATGTTCCTGTAGGAATTAAAGGATACAATAATAATAATAATATCTGAAGACATCAAATTCGCCACGAAAGAAGAAGAATTAGATGACAAAGTCCCATTTTTAGATGTCATAATCAGGAGAACCAACACAGGAGATTTAGGGACACAATTATATAGAAAATCAACGCACACACCCACAGATCAAATACTCAAATACTAGCAATAATCCAATTACTCACTAACAAACGAAACTGTGTGCAGACATTGTTTAAAAGAGTTCAAACACATTGTAGCACTCCATAGTTGAAAAGCATGGAACATAAATACCTACTAACGGTCTTCAAAAAGTATGGGTATCCACAAAATTTCATCAAAAAGTGTTTAAAGTCGAATCAAAACACCAACAAGGAACCATCATCATCAAAGACCACAAGAAAATTCATTCTACCATATTATAAAAAATATCTCTGAAATAACAGCTAGAATACTGAAACCATTTGGTATAGATATAGCACACAAGCCAGTCAAATCGCTTAATTCGATATTATGCAAACCAAAAGACACATCCAACAGAAAAAGGGGATAAAATTAATACCATTTACGAAATAAATTGTATGTATGAACTGCAACAAGCATTACATCGGTGGTCAAAGTGGGCATCCCCTTCGAATTAGAATTCAAGAATACAAATCAGCCGTGAAAAGACACGATATGTATTCTTTAGTATCAATGCATATAGACAATTATGGACATCAGTTTGATAACTGGGATAATGTCAAAATCTTAGACAGAGGAAACACCACCAAAGTGTAGTCAGGGAATTCCTAGAAGCCTGGTCGGTACTCAAACGAAAATGCGATTAGCAAACACGTTAATATTGACGAAAGATACCAACTAATAAACAGTAAATCGGGTAACCAGAAGGTTTAAAATCCAAGTCAAAAGAAAATGGTCAATACATATGTGAAGATAGTTACCAGGAGACGCAATTATATCACCACTCATGAAGAAATTTAAATTAGTTCACTTTGTGCTAAATATTGCGCTGAAGGGGGATGTTGTCCAGCAGGGGGGACGACAAAAGCTCCGCAACTACACCAACCAGCTCCTCAGAGAACGCTATTAATTGCAGATCAATAAATCAATCAGTCAGTGATTATTGAACGTGACAAGAATGTGCATCTCAGTTCAAGAGTTATGATTGATATAAGGTGTAAGAGTATGTTTGTTTACTTATGTCAAGATAAATTTCGGTGAGAGGTACATCCAGTCCTTCCGTCTTTGCGTTTCTTTCTTGTCAATAACATACTGTTGCATGCATGCATGCGCACCTTCCACTTATTCCCGTCTTCCAAATTTTAGTGTTTTTTAGTGTATCTTCAGTAGAAGGCGTAAACCACGAAGAAAATTCTCCCTTTTCGACGATTCATTCATTTTCATGAGCTGCTGTACAGTAATCGTAATTATATTGAAGAAAGAAAGAAATCTTTAGAACAATCAGATGATACTGGTAAACTTTGTGCTCGACAAATGTATTACATAATGTGTAAGGTGTCACCTAGAAGGGATGACTAATTGTATGAAAAAGAGGTCGAATTTGGCATGACGTAATGAGTGTGAGATCAATAAGCCCGTGTAGAATGGACAGGAACTAGTGGAAAGGTGATAGAGTTTTTATATAAAATCTGTATGAAGAAGCAACGTTAATAATAAACAGTAATTGAGTGGTAATCAAATGTATATGAGTGGAATAATAATGATAATAATAATAGTAATAATAATAGTAAACTTACATAATAAATGAGAGAAGTAAAATTATAGTAAATACTGTACTCTGGTCACGGTAGGACGAGAGAATGCATGTATCGCTTTTGAATGCACAAGTCCAGTTTCAGATCTCGAATAGCTAATGCTTCAGCTATGTACAGATGGCGTATCCGAAGTCCCTTTGTACGATACTGAGGGACTGTGTGTAGCACTGTGAAGCATTCATGCAAGTGGGCGTGCTCGATATCCGGAGATGACAAGGTGTTTGAGGATAGAGCTGCTACTTTTCTTCTTTTCTCCTCTGGCTGGCTAACCAAGCTGGACAGTGTTCCAGAATACGTTTGTCGACTTGACTTTGCTACGTACGGCTGATATACTTTGTTCCACACGAGCAAGTAAATTGATATAAATACACATTGAAGTGGTCGAAAACGGTATCTCATCCTTAACGTTAGACCGGATTAACTGTCTACTGGAGAAGGTGGCTGTTGGAAACGTCTGAGAATTTTTTTTCTGATGAGATGTCACCTTTGAATTCCAGATTCATGAAGACAGTTTCCGTAGGAACAGTTGAGATGTTTTGCGACGGGGGCTGCCCTTTCTCTAGTAGGGTTTCACGCAATAAATTTAATTCTTTCTCAGTCATGTCTTCCAAACAGATTTTTCTAATCCTTGAACTTAATGTACGTACCACATTTCGCTTTCTAATCAGTGGGACGAAGCTCTGGAAGTTGATAAACTGTCCAGTCCATGTTGGCTTGCTATATATATCGATCTTTGGACCGTAC